AAGCGGCCGCTGCCCCGCCCCGCCGATCACGTGATCGATCAGCTGACTGACTGACTCGCTCGCTCGCCCCGCCCCTTCCCCCGGCGCCACCGGCCCCACGGCCCCGGGCGGGGGGCGGCCACGTTTATTCGGTCTCTAGCGAGGGGCAGCGCGGCTGCGAGCGCCGCAGGACCGGCCCCGCAACGCGTCCCCGGGCGCAGCCGGGCGCGGGCCGTGGCGGGACCGGGCGGGAGACAGGCACGGCCAGGGCAAAGGACAGGGGACCGGGCACGGCCGGTGTGGGGGGGCGGGACAGGGCACAGGCACAGCTGGCGCAGGGGACAGGCACAGCCAGCAGAGGGGACAGGCACGGCTGGCACGGGGGACAGGCATGGCCAGCGCAGGGGGGGGACAGGGCGGGGGACAGGCACAGCCATCCCAGGGTAGAGGCACAGCCGGCACAGGGGACAGGGCAGGGGACAGACACGGCCATCCCAGGGGACAGGCACGGCTGGCACAGGGGACAGAGCAGGGGGGGACAGGCATGGCCGTTTCGGCCCCCCAGCAGACACCCCAGGGGACCAGCCCCTTGCCCTGGCCCCACCTGGGGAAAGGGCCCAGAAGAGGCCCCAGGGCAGCAGTGCAGGACCCAGCCCCGCGGGGGCAGCAGCAATGTCCAAGCAATGTCCGAGGGCCCTGGCCCAGAGCAGGACCCTCCCTCTCTGCACCAGGAGGGTCCCCACGGAGGTTGTCACAGGTGGGGGTGCATCGTCAGAGAACGCTCTCCTTGCAGGTCCCACTGAGGCTCCGCGGGTGGCTGCGCTCCAGCCGGCGGGCGGACAGAAGCCGTCGCAGGGACGAGGTGGAGCTCAGATCCCCGCAGCTCTGCAGGTGGATGCCTTCGTGGGGCCGCTCTGCTCCTGGCCAGGCGCTCCAGGGAACCTGCAACCCCGTGGGGACAAGCTGCAGCCGCGTGGACGGCACCCCTAACCACAGCACCGTGCCCTCACCTGCCCTGCCACATGGCCGGTGCACCAAGGGCAGCCGGGCAGGCACGCGGGGCAGGAGGACAGAGGTGGCGAGGGATGGCGGAAGTGTGCATCACACGCATACGCTGTCATTAAGGATGGGCTCATTCCTACTGGGGCCTCCCGGGGCTGCGCAAGGTCTCCAGCTTCCCGTAAGCTGAGGCCAGGATGTCCCAGCAATGGCCTCCAGGCTGTGGTGACTCAGGGGCAAAGCCAAAGCCGTTGCGACATGCACGATTTTCCCACTTGCGGCTACAGTGGGGACCGAGGGGAAGGGGCTGCAACGCCAAGAAGGGCTGGGCAAGGACAGTGCTGCAGGAAGGAGGCTCTGCCTGCAGCTCCTGCCTACAGCTGGGGTGCCGACACCATGGGGTGCATGGCAGGGGGATGGAGACCCTGGAAGGACCAGCGTGGAGGTGCTGGTAGAGACCGCAGGGCAGGAGAGGGTGTGGATGGGGGTCCCTGGGAAAGAGGAGCTGCCCCTGTCCCCTGGGACATCATGGCTGCTGGCACCCACCTGCTTGTGCCCCTGGGAGCTGTGCCCGGGCACCTCGATACCAGCTGCTGGGCTACGCTTAGGTCTCTGCAGGAACCTGGCCACCAGCCCACGGGTGCTCCGGCAGACCTTGAGGTCCCCCAGGGAGCGGGTCGTCGTCTTCGACAGCTGCTGCGTCACCTTCTTGGAGGGCAGCAGCTTGCTCTTCCCTGTTGAGCCAGCCCGGAGCAGTGGGGGGGAGTCACAGTGCGAATGGCGGAGCAGGCAGGCGTCTGAGCACAGCCCTGCAGAGACACTACCGTCAGATGCCAGGAAACTGCTCCTGACAGGACCTGACCCTGCAGCCCCTGGGATTCCTGCTGTTTCCCCTCCACAGCTGGTGGGAGCGGTACCACCACAGGTCTCCATCATCCCAGCCGCAATGGGGTGAGCCCAATCCCCAAAGGGCTACAGAAACACTCCCCCACCTCTTTGGATATCCCAGTATATCCCAGTGCTCTGACCTGTATCCGCAGAGGAGTTGGACACGGTGTCCTCCAGTGCTTTGGTATAAAGTACTTCCCTGAAATCTGCTAGGAGCAGAAAGAACGCTCAGGCTTTGGCAGCACCCCACACTGCTGTGTGGACCCCCAGCACCAGCCCAGGCAGCACGACCCACCCAGCACCCCCCTCCTCCCAGCCCAGCAGACCCCACCTGCTCCCCCCGTTCTCCTGGCACAACTGCCCACCTCAGACCGGCTCTAATCGCATCTGGCCACAGAGAAATGCAGCCAAAACCTGCGGTGCATCCCGGCTGCACTGGACAGACACTGCCACGCGCACATCCCCATCCCGGCATCTGTTGCCACCTACCAACATGGCTGGCCGTCAGGATGCCAGGGTCACTGTGTGACCTCAAGAGCGGGCGCTGGCTCAGCACCGGGGCCGGGGATGAGGGGCAGGAGGTCTCGCTGTTGCGCCGTGGGTGGCAGAGGCGCCCAGTGTCGGGCCCCGCAGAGCGGCCACCCCCGCGCCCCTGCAGTGAGCCCTTCTCCTTGAGCCGCACCTCGGGGAAGCAGGGGCCAGCGCAGCGGGCCAGCCCCTCCAGGCGATTGCAGCTGTGGGTGACAGCCCCCCCCACCAAGATGCTGTCGTGGCTGGGCTCTGCTGTGGAGCAGGAGTAGGAGCGCTCCCCTCGCACCCGGGGCTGGGGCATCTCCTCGAAGGGCCCCTGCAAGCCCAGCGTGGGGCTGCGCGCGTGGTGGCTGCACTGCACGCAGTCCACGCTCAGGCAGTAGTCCGCACGGCTGCGCTGGATGGAGCGGAAGAGGATGTAGTCGACGGAGCGCATGGAGCCCTGTAGCTCCAGCAGACATGAGTCCTCTGAGGGGCTGCTGTCCCCAGGGATGTCCATGATCTCGGACATGATTAGGGACCCGCTGTCCATGGACACTGCAAGGAGCAGAGCGGACACGAGTAAAGAGCTGCCAGGAAAGGCCTGTCCCCCTTCCATCCAACTGATGCTGCAGCCTGAGGTGCACTGATGGGGCAGGCTCACCTTCTCCACTGAGCACGATGGAGGGGACGCGGTCGCAGGTGCAGGTGTGCGAGCCGTCCATCAGCTGCGAGTCAAACAGGGTGGCCTGTGGGACGACGTGGTCAGGGCACAGGCAGAGCAGAAGCCCAGCCCTGCCTAGCCATTCCCTGCTCGCAGCCCCGTCTCCCACCTGGCTGTCTCCCCGCAGCCCCATCACGGTCTCGTAGGAAGGGGGGAAGTCGGTTGGGTAGAGGGGCACGGGGCTGTCCATGGAGCCATTGTAGGTGATGCTGTGGAGGCAAGAGCAGAAAAGCCACATCAGGTGGGACAAGCCCTGCTTGGGGGCAAACAGGCCCCTAGCTCCTGCACCACGGTGGCCCTGCTCCACCAGCCTCACTCCCAGCCACGTACCTCTGCGCGTCGGTCTCAGAGCTGCAGGTGTACTCGGGCGGGTAGTAGGGGGGGGGTGGCACCGGGGGCACAAACTCCTCAAAGTCCATCATGCTCTGCAGAAGAGTGTTGGGGGGGGACGTGCATTCCAGCGTGACAGAGCTCGAGCGCTGGGGGACCAGCTGCAGGGAGAGGAGAGGAGGGAGAGCTGGGACCCCCTGTCCAGAGATCCAGCAAGGGATGCACATCCCAGGCTGTAATCCGCACCTGGCTGGGGCCAGGTCCTGCCCTGGCACCCCAGGGACCCCCAGCCTGGGAGCACTACTCCCCAGCCCCATCTGCTCCTGGGCCAGGGCTGGGACTCACCACATGGACAATGTCGAGGGAGAAGATCTGGATGCAGCACACAACAGCAGAGAGTGTGCAGATGATGGTGGAGAAGACGGTCAAGCCACAGACGCTGAAGAGGAGGTCCTGGGGAGGAGTGGGGTGAGCTGTGGATGCCCACAGAGCATGGTGGGGTGCACAGCCGCTCCCCAGGGAGCCCTTGGCCCCCAGGTCCCCCACCTTGAGTGCCACACGGATGGTCCGGCAGTTGGGGTTGGGGAACATGGTCAGCATCTCACTCTGCCGGCTGCAGGACGTGGGATGTGGCTCTGAACGGGCCTGGCAGCAGACACACAGGTCCCTCTCCTGGGGACAAGGAACACTGTGAGGGACCTCTGGATGCTGTGCTCTCCCCCAAGAGCCACTGGCATGTCCAGCCACCAGACCCCTGCTCCACAGCTCCCCATGTCCCCGGAGCCCTGCAGCCAGGGACAAAGTGCACTCAGTTGCCCAGGCACACGGGGGCACTGCAGCAGCCCCTGGCCAGCCTCACCCTCTCGCAGGCCTCCAGGGACTTCACCAGCTGTGCATTCTGGCAGGACAGGATGGACCCAGCGAGGGTCAGCATGACGCCTAGCACCGACAGCAGCGTGAAGAAGGTGATCTGCAGCAGGGAGGAGAGGGGCTGCCAGCCGGGCAGGGCTGCAGAGCAGGGAGCCGATGCACGCGGCTGCGCGTCCAGGGCCACATGGGGCTGCTCGGCCCCCTCATGCTGCCCTCTCCATCCTGACCCCTCGCCTCTGGAGGGTTGCTCCCGCCCAACACCTACCACCAGGGTGAGTGGCCGCTTCCAGGAGACGATGCCAACGAGCCCAGACAGCGCCAGCTGCAGACACACAAGCCTGGGGGTGAGGATGGGGAGGGGACTGTGCCAGGCAGTGGGGCCCAGAGCAGTCCCTGCCCTTGGGCAGAGCCCCCCACGCCTTTCGGGCCTGGAGCTGGCCCAGGAGCAGCAGGGCTGTAGGGGCAGTCCCAGTGCCGCAAGCTGGGAGAAACTGCTGATTCAGGGCACTGGAGAGCCTGGGGACTGCAGGCAGCTCTGTGCCAGGTAGCGAACCCAGGCCAGAATCCATGCCGCAGGGTCGCCGCAGGGGACCCAAGGTCTGCCAGGGTCCTGCCCTCACCCCACGTACGCAGCTTGGCACGGGAGCAGGGCAGGGCTACCCGGTCCCCCACCCTCTTGCCACTGCAGCACCCCACGCATCTCTCCCTGCCTGCAGCTACACAAACCTGCTCAGGGTTTGTCCAGAAGTGTCTCACCTCAACACATACCCTGGATAGCCCCTCGCACCGCTCCGGGGGTCCCCATCCCTCACAGAGTCACCCTGGGGTAACCCTTGGGATTCTCCCACAATGCACTGCAGTAGCCACAGGCAGAGAGTGGGGGAGCAGCGGGGCTACATTCCCCTGGGACCGGCAGCAAATTCAGCATCCAGGGAGCTGTATGGACCCAGCAGAGCAGGTCTCTGCAGGACCCCTCCACGCACTGCCCCGGCCCCAGACTCACCGAGAAGCCGGCCCAGGACGGGCAGGAGTGCCGGATCTTGGCAGAGGGCGTGATGGTGGCCGCCACCAGGCTGAAGGTGACGATCAAGACGCCCAGGATGACTTGGATGAAGCCCAGCACCAGCAGGATCTGCAGCCAGGTCCGCTGAACGTGGAGGTGGGTGAGGCTGCGAGATGTGCGGCCGGTCAGCGAGCGGCTAGAGTCGCTGGGGGAGGGCATGGCTGCCCCGGGCGGCAAGCGGGGGCAGCCAGACCCGGAGCCCCGGGGCAGCCGGCGGCACCACGCCAGGACAGGGCCGGCCCGGGGGAAGCAGGAACGGACGCTCTGCGGGAACGGGCCGGGCTCCACCTTTCGCCTCCCGGAGGATGCTGACGGCGGCTCTTCCCTGCCCCCCGGGAGGGGTGCTCGGGGCAGCGCCCACGGCCACACGGGACCGGGGGCCGCCAGAAGCCCCGCGGGGTGTCCGGGGAACGGAACCGGCCTCACCGGTACCTTCGCATCCCGGCCGGAGAGCCGGCCTAGAGCTCCCGGCCGCAGGCAGAGCGCGGCCCCGGGGCTTCCTCCTCTCTCGCCGTCCCTCGAGCGCCGGACCCCCGCCGGGGGATCATGCCGCCCTGCGGAGGCCGAGAGCCGCCGCCCGGGACGCGGCGCCCGGGCCAGGCC